ATATAATATTCATAGTGGTAGTTACGGTACAAATAATCTGTCCTAGCTTTGAGTGCTCTAGATTAGGGAAAACATACCTCTAGAGATTGACGGTTTATCATATTATAATATTGGTTATTATAATTGACCAGTAGACCAGGAGAAAACGGCAAAATCCAGTAATCTACTGGTAAGTCCAGGAGAGTTTGCAGCTATGTGTGTCATATCTTATTGAAATTTTAGTTTTGTTGAATACAAAAATGGTGGAAGCTACTTTAACAAGACATTAAGAGGACATTTTTGGTGTTTAATTGTTTCGTAAATTATTTTTGGTTTTTTTGTGTAGCAAAACACTTAAGTACGAGGAGTTATGTATAGTGATTCAATTTCGTGTCAAGTAGTATTCACCATTTTCGGTATTGAGATAATTGTTGCTCAAAAGTCGTATCAGAAAAGGATGTCTTTTGCAGGAGAAGTGGTTGTTGCCGTCGGAGGGGAAAGGTGTCAAAATTTACCACCGAAGTGTTTAGATCCAGCGAGAGTCTCGCAGTGGACTGATCGTTAAGACACGGTTCCCAACAGATCACCGAAGTCAAGCATCACTGACTGCGGTCAGTGTGCGGGTGGGTGACCACTTGGATCAGTCTGCGTAGGGACCGAGGGTGTGCGGTATGGGTCCTCGTTAAACTGTGCTACCGTAAAGTGCTCGACTTCGCGCGTAGGTCGTCGGGCTACCGAAGCGGGGGTGCCATCCCCTCCGCAGAGGATCATNAGGCAAAGAGGGTGCTTTTCTCTTCTTGTTTGCTAGTGGAGCCATCTATGCCGAAGAACTTGACTTCTGCACACATATACGTCACAGCCTGTTCATAGGGCAGACCCATTCATACATTCATTCATAGACAGATCGTAATTTTGACCTGAACCAGAGAACGATCAATCTTTAATTCAGTAACCCAGAGGTATAATTTGTTATGGGAACAAGGAGGACTTTGTGACCCAACATATTTAACGTGCATCATAACACGGGGAGTCTTCGACCTGCAAGGCATCGAACTCACGACCTCTTGGACATGGGCCCCAACAACCTAATTAACGATCTGAATCAGTGGTTACCAACTGGCGGCCCGCGAAGCCCTTTTTTGAGACCCACGAACTAAAATATATTAGTTGACATTTTTTTGCGGACAATTTTTGTAAAAAATCTATATGGATTTAAAATAATTTTCTTTTGTTAAAAAAAAATAATTTCTTCGTTTCTGTGAAATTCAACATACCAATGATGCAAAAAAATTTATTTCGCAGGTCTTGCATCCAAGAAAATATTTTTTATTATTTGTAATTCAATACTTTTGTTTTGAACAACTTGATAAAAATCTGACAGTAATATTTAATGTTACTTCAAGCATAAGAGTCCTATATAAAATTTTTACAAAGTTGCGGCCCTCCATTAGACTGGTGTTTTTAATTGTGGCCCCCGGCCTCATGTAAATTGGAAACCCCTTATCTAAATTATGCTTATATAGGTTAAGAAACTATTGATGCAAGCTTTTCCATCTAACAGCATTTAAGTTCATTTAAGAATATTTTAATTAGTTGAAACTTTGTTTGAAGACAAATTCCTTTCGGTGTTAACAGGGTTCTAAAATATGCATTTAATGATCAGGAAACGATTTAAACTTGATATGTCTTCCAGTATAGTTCTCCATTTAAAATGTGAGAACTCTAGCTAATCGGGCTGTAGTTGAAGTTTCAATTAACCATAAATTTCTTGTAGTGCTGATAAATTTTGCTTGCGATAAAATTAAGAGGAAATAATGATTATTTAATTGTCATCCGGATCGGATCTCTAGATGAGTTTTAAGCACTCTAGCTTTTCAGAAAGTAGACAAAATATTTACCAATTTACTTCGCGATAATATGGCGATGAATTTTGATTGTCTTGAAAAAGATTGAAACTTGCTTTTTCGTTAAGAGCACAGGAGCTTTTATAATGTGAGTTCCTTGTGGTTAATCAGGCCATATAGGTTATATTTTAGAATTATATTTTTTGATCTTTTAAAAATAATAGAAATTTACTTTTGAATCTGTTCGTCAGTGATCAAAATTTTTATTAATGATAAAAATGGCGATAAATTTTCTAATTTGTAACGTCATCTACAGTTTCTATAGTTTATAGTATATAGAACATCTATAGTTTATAGTTTATAGTCAGAAACATCTATAGTTTAAATTTGGGTAGAATAGTTGCCGGAAATACAATCAATCAATTATAATGATAAATTGCTATTAAAAGGCGATTTAATCTCTACTTGTAGAAGTCATTAAACGATCAAAATTTGTATTGCCATCAATCACAGAGTTCCAGTTGAGAAATTTGTTGATCGAAAAATGATCAAAATTTTGATTAACAATGCATTCCCTAACTCAATAATATGGCAAAAAATTCTGTTTGTAATGGTCGGAAAATTATTTAAACATGTATTATCTTCAGACATATAATTCTGTTTAAGATTTCAGTTCTCTAGTTTGTCGGAAGTTTAAATAATGGCAAGTTTCATTGGTTGCTCTCGTGGTCAGAGGGAAAAATTGTAACATGAATCAAGTTAACATGCCTCATATACTAGTGACTTGATATTTAATACTATTATCAAAACGTACCTCTTGATGGAATTAAGTTAACATGTATTATATACTAGTGAATTGGTATATATATTCGTAGTGGTAGTTACGCCACAAGTAAACTGTCCTAGCTTTGAGTGCTCTAGCTTAGGGAAAACATATTCTAGCGATTGACGGTTTATCATATTATAATATTGGTTATTATAATTGACCAGTAGACCAGGAGAAAACGGCAAAATCCAGTAGTCTACTGGTAAGTCCAGGAGAGTTTGCAGCTATGTGTGTCATATCTTACTGAAATTTTAGCGTTGTTGAATACAAAAATGGTGGAAGCTACTTTAACAACTAGTAGTTTAAGAGGACATTTTTGGTGCTTCATTGTTTCATCAATTACTTTTGGTTCTTTGTGTAGGAAAACACTTAAGTACGAGGAGTTATGTAAAGTGATTCAATTTGGTGTCAAGTAGTATTCACCATTTTCGGTCTTGAGATAATTGTTGCTCAAACGTTGTATCAGAAAAGGATGTCTTTTGCAGGAGAAGTGGTTGTTGCAGTTGGAGGGGAAATGTGTCAAAATTTGTCCAGCGCAGTGTTTTGATCCAGCGAGTGGTTGACTGTAGGATGTTTAAAGTTTGCTATTGACAATCAAAATGGTCTACAGGTGGAGTTGAGCAGAACTCTCTATCTATGATAACACTTCGCATGCTTTTACCATTAGCGTGTGGAGAGTCGTAGAAGAAGGAAGTTCGTTAGTTTCTGTCTTGATTTTCGAATAGATTGAAAATTTTTAAGTTAGGTAACTATATGGAACTATACCTTAAACATAGATCTAAAAGAAAGTTCATTTACAAAGAAAGGACATTTTACAAAAATATTTTTGATAGCTAAATACGGAAAATATTAAGAAGGGGGGAAAATATCGCAGTAGATTCCTGTACAACTGAAAACAAGAGGAGAAGGAAAGGGATCGGTCAAGGCATGGAATCGGTCTTCTCCCCCAGATGGCGTATTCGAGCATTGCAATTGCTAATTGTAAACTAATAATGGTTGAACTTTCTTAGAAGTGGGTAAAATCTTAATTATTGTTGTTATTATTTTTGTTTAGTATTAGCCTGTGAGTCACTAAGCCAGTGATGAGATTTAGAGGGGATAGGCGTGAAATAAACAACCCAAAATTTGGGAAATACCAAAATTTTGTTAACACAAAAACTTGTAACTTAAGACTTAATTTTTTTTGCACTCAATTTTTATATTCGGAACAAATGATTACTTTTCCATTTTGTTCCTGCAACCATTTCATGTGAAGAATGAATAATAAAGATCAACTTCTGAAAAATTGATCTGATTAAAGAAATTCCGTGAATTATACAAGGTATCTCATAAATATTAGTACATTCTTTAAACCCTTGACATATTATTTCTCGATATCGAAATGATCTTTGATTGCACTGTAAACAACAACTCGCAACGGAATGTTGACAGAGATGCCAACGGCTCTGGACAGGCCAAAATAATTATTTAAAAAAATGGTAAATTACTACAAACTAAATTTTGCAAATATTTGACTATTTTTGCTTGCTTTTTGAAAGGTATAGCATGACATAACTACTATAAAGTGGTGAATTATATAAGCCTAAGAATTATTTAGAAATAGTGGCGGATCTACTAAATTGAATTTATGAAACCAAGAATCATAATTGATAAACTACAACTTCGAAATATTCATTTGCTGTCCGGAGCAAGTTGGCATCTCTGTGTTGAAGACGTCTGAGATTCAAATGAGTCAATTATTGTTTTGACGTAAGAAACAAATGACGTCTCCCAGACGTCTTCGTATGTCAAGGGGTTAGAGCACATAAGTTATTTTTAATTCCTAAATGCCGTAAGGCGAGACTGAACACAGTTCTTTTGCCGAAAAATAAGAGATGCACAATTAAAAACTAATAACAAGAGAAGTACAAACAAACAAAATAGAACAATAAAAAAAAAGGAAAGAGTCAAGGTGTTAAATTAAACAAAAAGTTGTCTCCTGAGCTCTATCTCCTGAGCCATTATCATTCATAATTGGTAAATGTGTTTTTATACGTAATGATATCAGTAGGGATTATTTCTATCAAAGCTAAATTTTATTCATGAATCTGGTTTTCATTACGCCAACAGAAATGGCATTTCCACACCAAGAAAATCACACTGATTAAAATTAAAATAGTTCACGAAAAACCGCGTAGCTGCGATAACATTTTGAAGTCAATGGAGGTGACTTCTAAGAACAATCCAACTGCATTGACGACCATTTTACTGTGGCACAGAGAGTGGTCGCTTTTGAGAGGTTGCACTACACGTGTTCGGCGCTAAATTAACTTCTAAGGGGGACAACTTCACTATAAATAAAACCTTCTTACCTATGTTTGAAGATGTGGTTAAATGTATCAAATATCCTGCAATTAGTAAGTATCCAAAGTAGAACATTTTCAATTCTTCTTTTAAAAAAACGCTTATTCGCTTAATCTTCACTATCACAAAAATGCTTAGTAAGCTAAAAAGAAGATCAGATATCGGCTGTTAGTAGAAAAGAAATCTAGTTACACATTCAACAAAACGAACCTTGATCTAATTTTTTTCTTTAAATTATAAGTGTAAGTATGCATGATCTTCTAAACAGTTAACTGATTAAAAGATAATGATTTTTATTTCTTTAATATGATTGACTGTGTCGGATAAATTCGATAAGATTATTTAGTAGTTCTTTCCCTTCTATTCTATATCAGGGAATAATTAAAGAGAAATTTGGAGTCGTTTAAAGACCCTTAACGAATTATTTTATCGTAGCTCTTCATAAATACACATTATCTTAAATAGACTCTTCACAATATTTTTTTATTTCATATATGAACCGTTCTCAAAATTCTTCCTAAGATAAGGTCTTTGAGTAAGGTGATTACAAAAGTAGGTGATTACAAAAGTAAGGTGATTACAAAAAAATGTAATATTTAGCTGCCGTATTAGTATTTATTAACTAAGTATGTGCTTTAATTTTTAAAAAAAAAACAATGTTAAATGATATGATTCGTAAGACAATTATTATAAGTGCGATTTCAATGAAATCTATATACATATTATTGTTGTTGTTGTAGTTCATTTACGTCACACTAGAGCTGCACAATGGGCAATTGGCGACGTTTTGGGAAACATCCCTGAGGATGATCCGAAGACATGCCATCCCAATTTTGATCCTCTGCGGAAGGGATGGCACCCCTGCTTTGGTAGCCCGACGATCTGCTCGTGGAAGTCGAGCACTTTACAGTAGAACAGTTTAACGAGGACCAATACTACACATCCTCGGTCCCTACGCAGACTAATCTAAGTCGTCACTCATTGCAGACAGTAATGCTTGACTTCGGTGATACATATTATTCAATTTTGAACTAAAAATATTTAATAAAAATATATTTCTGTAAAATAGTTTATTTAAGTAAATTCATGGATTTAAAGAAATTATACACATTCCATGCAAAAAGTAACTATTAATAATATTTATTATTATTTTATCGATTAATTATTACAATTAACTGTTAACGAGTAATAATTAACAATTATGTGTGGCATTAAAATAACTCATAAGAATGAATTACTTTTACTATTTTATTTCATAAATAGTCGAAAAACTTTAAGTCGTAAGATTTTTACATCATTTTGATTCAGGCTATTTCAAATGACAAAACATGCAATTTGGAAAAAGTCTTGCGAACAGTTCTTGAGAAATCAAATTTTAAATATACTTGTTTTTTTGAAATTTTATTACTTAGAATACGATTTAATTACTTAGAAATACAAATGATTTTATGGAAGTTTTCAATTTCGTTATTTCTAAGTGCATACTTTAAAATGAAATAAAAATTTGTATACCTCACCATTTAACATTTTTTTCTATCGTTATGTGTTCCGCAGTGGACTCATCGTAAAGACACGGTTCCCAGTAGATCACCGAAGTCAAGCATTACTGGCTGCGGTCAGTAGGCGGGTGGGTGACCACTTCCCGGATATCAAAATAAGGTTTATATTCACTCAACAAAAACCTTCTAATGTAAACGTAAAAAGGTTTTTTACGCGGTTTATGTGTTAACCTTCTAACCTTTAAGCGAGATCTGCTCTATTCTACCGAAATCTTGAAAAACAACCTTCTGTATAAAAACGTGAAAATCGAGGTTGTGTTAGGGTTTTCAAGCTTGAAAAAAATCCTTGGATGAAGCTAGTCTGAAAATAATCTTAAATCTAGGTTATTATAAGGTTGCTTTTCGCAACGTCTTGTATGCTCAGTTACCTAAAAGACAATCTTTTTTAAAAAAAAGTTTTTAAAAACAATTTTCAACTTTTTTAAGATGAAAGGTTTGAAATTGCATATTTTTGGTTTATTGAAAAAAGGTTTTTAATACAAACATTTTCGTGACACTGAAAAAAAAATTCTGACACAAGGTTGTCGTATGGTTACATGCTTTCTGGGTTTGATCAGCCTGCGTAGGGACCGAGGGTGTGCGGTATCGGTCCTCGTTAAAACGTTCTGCCCTTAAAGGGAAGCCTCTGCAGATTATCAAAAATACGATGGCATGTCTTCGAATCATCCTCAGAATCAGGGATGTTTCCCAGACCGTCGCCAATAGCCCATTATGCAGCTCTAGGGCGACAGAAATGAAGTACCTATCTATCTATCGTTACATAATTCAATTCAACACAATAAAAAAAAAAACATTATAAGTTGCTTTTTGCGTAGAATTACATTTGGGTAAAAAAAAATTATAATGGTTCACAAAAATATTTTGATTTGTCTAAATAGTGGCAAAAAAATAAATGGCGTAATATTCGCTTAATACTTGACAAATCTTAAGAGAACTTCGAAAATAAAAGTTGAGAACACAAATTATGTTTTTATTTTTACTTTCCTGAGAACGCGTCGTAGTGTAGAAAACTCCGAGCAAGCTAGCGCTTGCTTTAACATCAACTACAACTTTGTAGTCAACACTAATTATTAAGTTTTACATTATTGGAAATGTATCATCCTGTAGTGTATAGATACTGCTTTAAAAATGAAACAATTTAAAATTTAGGAGGATGTCTGTAATAGGCATCCTGTATATGGTACGGTGAATGAACGAAATTAGTGGTTGTTGACTATTCCACCGGTGAATGTTGACAATCACATAGTCGCTTTGGTGAATGTTCGAAATATATACTAGGTATAGTGAAGTGCCACTGCCAGGTATGTATTTAACCGGTACTCCGAACACTGATGTTTCCCTTTATCTATCCTCAGCAGATCTTAAAATATCGAATAAATATAATAATGTCAACGAATAAATTAATATGAAATACTTCGGGCATTCACCGAAGCAACCACGTGAAAGTGGACGTTCTCCGGATTTCGAGCATGCACGTTAACATATAATGCAAAAAGATCATAATTATACTATAAATCAAATATATTATGAAGTCACAAAAATAAATAAGTCATATCATAAAAGTTATGTATTATTTTTTTATAATATTATGCAATATATTTTTCATATTTTTGGAATTAAAGTTTTAAAATTCAAACGCAATCTATTACCAAGTATCAACACGAAATATGCATGATTAAAATTCAAAACACGAAACTAAAACAATTTTTTAATTTAAAAAAAACAAAAACATTCACGTCAGAAAAGGTATTAAGATCAGGCATTTTAAAAAGTGTATTTATTTTCTACACTTTAAAAAAACTAAACTGTTCCTGCTGAAAACCTATGTATATCTAAGAAACGAAAAGCATTTTTTCATATTTTCTCTCATTTTGTGATTAGAACTTTTATGAAGTAAGTTTTGTAATCGTAAAATATGGAATCAAGCAATTTATTCCTATACAGAAGAAGGGTGGGAAAGGGGAATTTTAATACTGAATTTCTTCGTGTTTCATCATATATCTGAAAACAAAGATAATGTGCAATCAATTTTCTTACTTCTTTTACTAATAAAAATTTGAAACGAAAATTAAATGCTTCCCAAGTCACAATTTTCTAATGGTTTTAAACTGGTGGATCAACAAAATCTTGATGATAGTCATCGCTAATTCCACCATGAACCATTCTGTTTCTTTTTTTTTTCGTAAACAGCACCCCAAAGTAGGAATTCGGATTGATTTATCGTGATTCAACATAAGAATTACAACTTGTTTTGATAGTTTGTTAATGTTGAACCTTCAGAAATTTCCTTTGAAGTTTCTTGGAAATCAAATGTTGGAACGATCATGAACAACCATCACCCCAATGTAGGAATTCGGACTGATTTATGATGGTCCAAGATAATAAAAAAATTAAATAAAAAACAGAATTGTTATTTTATGGTATATTCCTCATAACCAACAAGATCTACCATTAAATCATCGTGGAAATGTATAGTTAGAACCATCATGCATTGTTGGTGCATGACAATTAAGCTTCTCTTGATGGTTAACCATCATAGTATTAAAGTAGCATTTTCTATCAAGGAATGATGGAAGTTTGTTGGCGTATCAAAAAACCACGAACGCGTGATTTACAGAGGATGATAGAAACCATCAAATTATGTGGTACAATCATGAATCACACTGAAAACAACATAAATCATCAGAATTATACTAAGTATCGAAATCGTCAAAATTTTTCTAAGTACCGA